CCCACCCAATCTTTGAAAATCATTTTCATTTGTACCTCCCCGCAACACATCATTTCCCCTTTCGTGCATCGCGAACACTCCCTTTAAGAAAAATCACCTTCGTTGGTAGTTGTAGTTTATGTAGAGTTCTATGAAGGGGTGAATACGATATACATATATTTTCAAGGGCTTCGTTCAAACTTAGTGGTGCACACTGAAAATAAAGGATAAAAAACTTTTAATTAAAAGAATGAACAGACAGGTTACTGGGTAAGTGTTTTTTTCGCAAGGTTGCAACATTTGGCTTTTTAACCAAATGTTTTTATAGCTTCTAATTCTTAGATTTTTGGAAAAATTATTATAATCAAATGACTGTCACCACACAAACGTAGATAATTCCGACATTAGAGGTAATAAAAGTCTTCTTGGTGTTTTTTAATATCTTTTAAATTCAGGCGGTCGGCAAGGGCAGCTTACGAAATATGATGTCTAGGGGTTTTAATGATGAAAAACTAATTCTGAGGATGAGGGGGGGGGGGTGCCCACAGCCAAAATGCGCCCCTAGAAATGAAATAAATAAATACCTTGATATCCAAGTTTTGTTCAGATATCCTCTGTATTCTATCCAAACTTTTTATTCTTTTCATATCACTCAAATCTGCACACGAATCCTGGAATATTCACAGAAGTAGAATACTTAAAGTAACTAAAAGTATCCCACAATAGTTTAAGAAATGTCTGATTCACAGTGGTACCCTTGGTAAGCTTTATATGATCCAAGAATGAATGAGTTATCAAAACCATGTTCTAATAGGTCGGGTTCTTTGTTGCAGTTGCGATTTGCGGATTTCTTTCTACAGAAGTGAAAGAGGAAATTGTGATAATAAATTCTTTTTGTTAACCTTCAGGGTGTCCCACATCATATCGATTATAATAGATCTTAATTGCGATTTTCGGGTCTGTCCTAGTATACAATTTTTGGACCCCCCCCCCCCTCCTATCAATTTTGTACATGACCATTTATTTTTCAGCAAATTTATTGTTATTTTTTTTTTGTTATTTAGGGTTAGGTTAGGTTAAGATACTTTCTGGGCCGAGCGCTGCGGCTAGGATGGGCTAGGGGGCCGAGCGCTGCGGCCACGGGTTAGGTTAGTTAAGATACTTTCTGGGCTGAGCGCTGCGGCTAGGATGGGCTAGGGGGCCGAGCGCTGCGGCCACGGGTTAGGTTAAGTTAAGAAACTTCCTGTCACACCCATGTACAAAATTGATAGGAGGGGTCCAAAAATCGTATACTAGGAAATTACCCTTAAATGGTTGTTATTTTGATTATGTTGCATTTCGAACCTAATATATGGTATATTCCTAGAGAACGATTTTTGGACTAGTCTGTCCTAGCCGCGACGCTCTTCCCCCTAGACTGTCCTAGGCCCATAAACTGTCTAAACATAACCTAACACTAGAGTAATTTAATATAAGTAATAATAATTTTGCTGAAATCATGTACAAAATTGATAGGATAGGATTGTCTGGGGGCGGCGGGGGGGGGGGGTTTCTAAAAAACGTTTACTATGACGGACCAATCGATTTTCACAAGATTTTTAAAACAGAAATTTAGTATTAAACTGTAAATGTCTTTATTGCGAAAATTACACTTTCCTCTTTAGAATTGTCGATTGAATGCCCCGCTTCTCTCTCAGTGATTGATTAATTGATAGAAATACCAATGCCGCAAATTATTTTCTTTTCGGCGCAAGTTTCTGTCTCAACTATCAGTCTCAGTCTCACTCATATTCAAGGTCCGAGGAGCCTGGATTAAATATATATATTATTCTATATATTATATATGTATATTCCATACCATGATAAAGATATCTACTCTGTGGGCCGCCGGGGTTTTCTAAATTTATCAAACTACATTTAGCTCATATATATTTAACAAATTGATTACTTAGTAATGTAGAAAATTACAAATCTGGTGAGAAAAAAATTCGGAATGAAAACTTTTTGGGTCTGTCCTAGTATACGATTTTTGGAATTTTTTTTGACAAACTAATTTAAATAAATGTTTAAAAATGTATAATGTACCTATGCAACCTCTTTTTAAGTTCCTGACCTAAGTACAAATTAAAAAATACATAAATTTACAATTTCATGCATTTTCTATGTTTTCAGAAATATACCCAGAATAGAGATGAGAAGACCAACATATGTGAATATTAACATGAATGTCTGTTTTAATGTGTTTTTCCTTTACTTACTTTATTCTGAATAGTATTAATATTCCATAATTAGTATTTAAAGGAACACAGTAAAGGTGGTATTTGTAGGGGTTTACAACTAGGACATTTTTCCTCCCTGGTTCATAATCTATGTTGCTTGCACTCTTTCTAGAGAAATTGTTTTGTTAAAAATCCCCTAATGCCTATTTTTGTTAATTTTTCCACTTGGATCCGGATTTATTACAATTGTGGTGTGGTTTCTTAAGAAACAGCAAAACATTAAAGGAAATATTAACATCATCTTTCATGATGGGAAAACCACTCTAGAAACGTACAGGTCCAGGTCCAGTCCCTTCATATCTAATTTTGTTCAGGGAACCAACGTGATCTAGCAAGGGAGAAGGCAGCTAAAAAGGAAAAAGGAAAGACCAAGGCTGCAAATGAACAAGAGGCAAATAAAGGGCTGTCAAGGGAACAAAGGATGGAGAGGTAAATCAGGGAGTTATATTTTCTTGAAAATTCACCCTATCTCAACTTTTGCTGCCCACTCAAAGATAAAACCCAGATATAAATTCAATGCATTTGAAGTTTTATAATTTTACAACCAAATCCTCTATTTTTTTAAATGTTGAATTCAGAGAAAAGTTAAAACTCAAATTTCATTTTTTATTATCTGTTATCCTGAAGAATAAACTGTTATCTGTCATCCTGTTTTAGAGACGCTCAAATAATGCGGGAGAAGCAGGCGAAGAAAGCAGCTGATGCAGCTGCAGCTGCCAAAGCCTAATGTAGCAGCGCTGTCATCTGTCATCTGTTAGCTATTTGACTGGAATGAATTTTTTGTATAATTTCTAACTTTCTGCCCCTCCCCCAATTAATCCAGCAAATTCAAATTTTTTTTACTAATTTTCTACTTTTCCCTATACTTGCCTTTAAAACCAATATTTTTGGTATTTTATGATAATATAATCCAAACAGTTAACTAATTTTTTAACGTTGACTTTTACTTTTTACTTTAACCTTGTCTGTAATTAGAATATTAAGTAGTTATTTCAAAATAATAAATATTTTTTCTTTTTTTTATAACCAACCATTTCTTGGTGTTTTCAGATAAAAAATGTTCCCCATTACGCGGGGTTATACTATAAACGTAGTTAAAGAAAAGGTATTTATCATTATTCAAGTTTTTGTTTTTTGCTTTGATCCTGGGTCGCTGGATGTTTGGGTCACTATAAATCCCCGTAAACCTATATGCTGCACCTAAACGGTTGTCAGAAACCAACCAACCAATGGAGTTAATTGGTTTGCCAACTTTCCGGAAGTATCTCCTTGATTCCATTGGATGGTTTATTTATATTCTTACATTTTATATTGTTTATGACCGTTATTCAGAATTAGTCCGACTCAGAGTGTTTTAGAAAGAATATTTGTTGGCAAAAATTATTTTTTTTAAGTAAAATTAGAAGTAAAAATTATCAAGTGACAGAAATATTAAGAAAACCCTATAATGTCTAATCCTATAAGTGATCTCATTCTTATATCACAGAATAATTCTGCTAAACTTATGCTCATATTTCAGAATAATTCTGCTAAACTGATCCTATTCTCATATTTCAGAATAAATGTGCTAAACTGATCCTATGCTCATATTTCAGAATACATCTGCTAAACTGATCCTATTCTCATATTTCAAAATAGAACTGCTAAACTGATCCTGTTCTCATTTTTGCTAAACTGATCCTATACTCATTTTTCAGAATGATTCTGCTAAACTGATCCTACTCTTATATTTCAGAATAAATCTGCTAAACTGATTCTATTCTCATATTTCAGAATAAATCTGTTAAACTGATTTTATTCTCATATATCAGAATAATTCTGCTAAACTGACTATTCTCATGTTTCATAATGATTCTGCTAAAATGATCCTATTCTTATATTTCAGAATAAATCTGCTAAACTGACTCTATTTTCATTTTTCAGAATGATTCTGCTAAACTGATCCTACTCTTATATTTCAGAATAAATCTGCTAAACTGATTCTATTTTCATATTTCAGAATAAATCTGCTAAACTGATCCTATGCTCATATTTCAGAATACATCTGCTGAACTGATCCTATTCTCATATTTCAAAATAGAACTGCTAAACTGATCCTATTCTCATATTTCAGAATAAATGTGCTAAACTGATCCTATGCTCATATTTCAGAATAAATCTGCTAAACTGATCCTATTCTCATATTTCAAAATAGAACTGCTAAACTGATCTTGCTAAACTGATCCTATTTTCATTTTTCAGAATGATTCTGCTAAACTGATCCTACTCTTATATTTCAGAATAAATCTGCTAAACTGATTTTATTCTCATATATCAGAATAATTCTGGTAAACTGACTATTCTCATTTTTCATAATGATTCTGCTAAAATGATCCTTTTCTTATATTTCAGAATAAATCTGCTAAACTGACTCTATTCTCATTTTTCGTAATGATTCTGTTAAACTAATCCTACTCTCATATTTCAGAATAAATCTGCCATATTGATCCTAAACTCTGAACCTTCAAATTCGGGTAATTTTAAGACATTTTCCTAAGATACTTACTGAGTGTTTTCTATGTGTATATAGGAATGTGGATTTTCTTTAATAAAATGTAAATTGATCAGTGTCGATTTTTTTGCCTGGGTTTAGGGGGGGGGGTGATTTTTCAAGGAAGGGGAATGAACATGTAAGCATGCATAACAAGTCATTTTACCATTTGTTGCAACTTGATTAAAAAATTAGCAATAAAGACTCTAATAAAGTAACAATTTTTGGGGTTGCATTTAAGTAAAAATTATTAAAGAATTTAAACGTAGGAAATGTAAAAAAACATCAAATTTTTTAGGTTTTGTTTCTTACAAAACTGACTTAGCTGGGAAGGAACTAGAATCAAATGATCTTCGGTTGTATAGTTGCAACGCTAATGGTGCCGGTGTACACATGTACAAGGGGGAATGTGGTGGTACATCCAGTATATGCACTAGAGGGTCAGAGTACATGAGTACAATACAAATTGAAGATCAAGAAGATGATGAAAAAAGTTTAGATAATGAGCCAAGTACAGGAAACTGTATTCTTCAAGGTTCGTGGATTTAGTATTTTCATTAATAAGGGACTGTGAATGTAATTTCAAGTGAACCTCCATTTTTATTGCATGGGGGAAGGGTTGTTTTGAGATTTAACCTCTAATTTCCTATTTATTATAGAGTACATGAAGTAGCATGACCATTTCGCAACTGTAATTTCCCTCAAACCTTTTCCTTATCATAGATGAGTCAGATATACTTATTCTTTGCTGAACATTTATTATTCTCATTTGTGGTTTCTCGGGATAAGTGACTTGCAGAGATAATTACGGAAAATGTCAGAATTGTCACTTTAGATTACTTCAATAGTCCCGCTTAAGATTTTTAAATCAGAAAAGTTTAAACTAGTGTCTAAGCTCTAATCCCCACCCCACCAAAAAGCTCTAAAATTGATAACAAGCTTCTGTTTTGCAGATTCTGATATTTTATATGAGACTGAAGAAAGAATCTCGTGTTCAAATCTTGAACTGAATTCTCCAATTCAAAATAATACAGCCTCAGGTAGTTTTTTTGTTTACTATTCTCCTTCATGTCAGACCATTGATTTTTTATGATATGATGTTAGGTACTTTCCCAAAGTTTTTTTCCCAATTGACAACTTCCCAAGGGTATCTTCCCAAATGGCAACTTCCCTACTGTGTAATTTCCCTAGCTGCAGCTTCCCAAGTCTGTCCTAGCCCCTGCGCACGGCCCCTAAACTGTTAAAGCTTAAGTGCTCGGTCCCCATTGCAGCCTGCGGCGCCTCAGAAAGCATAACCTAACAAGGGAAGTTGCTGCTTTGGAAATTGCACAGTTGGGAACCAATGCTTAAGATCCAGGTAATTTTGATGCGAAACCGGATCCGAATCCTTAGCACTGGTTTGGACGTTGCTGCTTGGGAAAATGCCTAACGCATTTATGAAAACAGTGCTGATTGTCGTAAACTATAAAATACTTTTACGACGTACGTTACTTGCATTTTCAACCAAATATACATTTCAAAATTAAAATATTCAACTAAGGAATCGAAACCTTTAAAGTTTGACTGGGGAGGGGGGGNATTTAGGAGTCTGGAAACTAACAAAAGGGGTTTTAACTAGATTTAGGAGTCTGGAAACTATTAAAAGGTCTTATATCCAGATTTAGAAGTCTGGAAACAGGTCTTGTATCCAGATTTAAAAGTTTGGAAACTATTAAAAGGTCTTATATCCAGATTTAGAAGTCTGGAAACAGGTCTTGTATCCAGATTTAAGAGTTTGTAAACTATTAAAAGGTCTTATATCCAGATTTAGAAGTCTGGAAACAGGTCTTGTAGCCAGATTTATGAGTTTGGAAACTATTAAAAGGTCTTTTATACAGATTTAGAAGTCTGGAAACTATTACCCTACCCTATTTAAGACTCTCTAGTCCTGTAGAACATGGTGTAAGGGTTTAAAACTTTTGATTAAATATAATTGAATTTATTTTTATTTTAAATATTGATTATTGATTATTTATTAAATTATTTTTTTGATAAAATTTTATTTTATGCGATGAATACTTTTAGAAAATGAGTTGTATACCAACTGGAAAGAAAATATAAGTATAGCTAACGAGGAAATAGTTTTAGAAACAGACACTTGCTCAGATGTTAAGGTAAGTTTTTATTCAAAACTGCTGAGAACTGTAACCTTAGTAAAAAATGCCATTTAATGTCTATTTTTCTATTGGCCAAAGTAGTCAACATCCAATTAAAATTAAGTCCTTGTGGAAGCCAATGTTATTTCTTTGAATTAATCAAAAATTATATAAATGTCATTTTTATGAAATAGAATATATTTTTCTCCACAAATCATGTATCTTTTTTCTAACTACGTTATGGCTGTTCTTAGGGTTTTTTTTATGACTTGTTGGAGACATTAAAAGATTTAAACCAGAAAATTAATTTTGGGTTGAGAATATCGGAAAGTGGGGGAATAATTTTCTGTTTTAGTAAAATTTTTCAGGAATGAAGGGAATTCTTAAAAGTTAAAAACCTTGGCGTTCTTTTCACCGAAAAGGTCTTTATTATTATCGAGATTTAAACTGATCTTTCCCAAATGCATTTTTCCAAGTGGAAACTTCCCTAGTCTATTCTAGCCGCAACACTCGTCCCACTAGCCTATTCTAGACGCAACAATCGTCCCTCTAGCCCATCCTAATCGCAACACTCGTCCTTCTAGCCCATCCTAGCCGCAACACTCGTCCCTCTAGCCCATCCTAGCCGCAACACTCGTCCTTCTAGCCCATCCTAGCCGCAACACTCGTCCAGAGCCCATCCTAGCCGCAACGCTCGGCCCCTCATTGCAGCCGGTGGCGCCGCAGAAGGCCCTCTTAACATTAGAAGTACATCTGGGAAGGTGCTGCTTGGAAAACGTCACGATTGGGAAATTCCCACTTCGGAAATTGTCGATCGGGAAGTTGCCTTTGGGAAAGTATACGACAAACAACATTTTTATGCTTTTCTTTGTCAATCGTTGTCGCCCCTCATTAATGGCAACTATTTAGGATGTTGACAATGAGAGGGTGTTTTGTGAACAATGTTCTTTAGATTTTACCAGCATTCAAGTAGTTCGGCAACATCTACAAGATGTACATGCTGCAAAACCAGGAGGTGAGAAGGGGTTGTTAATTTGATGTTTGAAGATCTGGGGGACAACATCAAAATTGGACATCAAAAGGCCAGGATTTTATCCTTTTTGGTGCCCCAACTTTTTATTTTTTTTCGCTTCAATTTAAAGGAAAATAATATAACTTCTAGGGAAAAAGATTTGCAGATGGTGGGCGGGGATGATTTTTTAAGGAAGTATACATCCCTGGAGGTATATGTAGGGGTCTTTTCCAACTTGAATTTTTTTCAAAACTTTTTGTTCATACTCTTCTTAAATAGTAAAATTTTCTATACAATACAGTTGTAAATGTCTTGTGAGAAGTCAAGTTTGAAGAAAAATGTCATAAAAGATTATATTTTAATTGTCCTTGTTGGCAAAAAAGGTGTCCACTCTCGCGCTATAGAAAACCTTGGGTTTTGGATTATAGTTTGAAAAGCATAAAAATAATGGAATTAGAATTAACATTTGATAAGGGTCCAGCTTTACTGATATGCAAGTTTTGGATAGATAATTTCCTTTATGTCATAACTACAAAAGAAAACGCCACGTTTTAAAAGATGGTATTTCAAGTTCCAATTATTTATTTCCTGTAAGTATCAACTAGATAAACTTAAGTAACATTTTTAGATTCGTTGGCTCGTTGTGAATACTGTGGGGTGTTATGCACAGATAGGTTTGTACTTGTCCAAAAAATATATATTTTAGTTAAAGTCACAACTCTGAACCTTGCTATTTATGAAAGAATGAAATTGGAAAAACAATGTCAACTTATCCTTCAAATAAACTGACATCTTTGTATTAAGATTGGCGCATATGAGACGAGTGCATTATTCAAACCTTACTTTATGGACCAGGTAGATAATAAAAAAATAATTCCTCAAGGGGTTAACTTAACGAAGGACTTGAACCAGAGGCCGAATTTAAAGAATTTAAACCGCGTCGCTGATCCGCCAAAAACGGTTCCAATTGAGGTATCAACCATAGATTAATAACAACACAGATTTCTAAGTTTTAGTGGTTTTTCGTTCACAAGTAGAGATTCTACAGATCTGAGCAATTATGGAATGAATTCCAGAAAATTAAGGATTCTACAGATCAGAACAGTTCGTGACATTTGAAAAGACGACATGTAGGGTTATATCTGTGCTGTTGGTAATCTACGGTATCAACCATAAAATGTTGTGAAAGAAACAATTATACTATTTAGTATGTGTGAAGGTTCACTTTAAATCTTGTTTTCAGTCTCTTAAAGAAATTCAGACAAATGAAATCTAATCGTAAAACAGATTCACATTAACGACGGGAAATAAAGTTTCATTTCTCACTCTTATATTTCTAGAGATGGTAAGACTTATACATGTAAGGAGTGTGAATACACATCTACAGAATTAACCAACATTAGGTAATTAACTTCAACAAATTGTATTTTTCGTTATTTATGATCGGTCAAAATATGGCTTGCTAATAGTTAACACTGATTCAAATGTTCTTAAAGAATTTTTTTATGCAATTTTAAAAGTAGCTCCAAATAACTGGGGAGGGTGATATTAAGGAAATTAATTTGATTTTTGTCAGCTGAAAACTTTTGAATGCATTGATTTTTTAGATGATATTTGTTTGTGCAGGAATCTAAAATATTTAAGCTTTTTGCGATGGTTAAATCAATAAAATTTAAACATTTTTATTTTCAGAAATCATATTGATGCGAAGCACAGTTCTGAAGATAAGAAACACAAGTGTTTAGAGTGCAATACAACTTATAAAACTCTTAATTCAATTCGCGCGCATAGAAGTAGGGTGCACGCTCGCAACAAGAAACGGAAAAATATTTCAATAAATTAACTAAATTAAACTCGAAACTGTGATAATCAGCGGTAGGGTTAGCGACAAAGGATGATACTTAAATGACGCCGTGGGTTGAACCCGGACTCTTGGGTTGAACTCGAACTCATGCTTGAAATAAAGTCTTTTTGGGATATCTTAAAGGATTTGGCAAAGAAAGGAACCAGTTAACAGCTGTAAATTTGAGAAAAAGGTTTAACTAAATTCTGTACAGTCGTCTCCGTAGTCTCATCCTTTGTAGGTATCCCTGCATGAACTGTAATTGAATCCTAGTATTAAGTTTTTGCTTTGTAGGATCTAAGTGTAGCTTGAACAGGATTAACTTCTTGACTTTCTAAGTTTTTTAAGACCAATGACAAATTGATAAAATCTTGCAGGGATTATTAAGTAAAAGATAGACGCAAGATTGCATATTATTAAATGGCTTTCAGGCCTCCCTTTGCAATAGTCCATGTAAACTAAAGAATTTTTTTTTGCATAATCTAATCTCAACTTTTTTATTTATGTAATATTTTTTTTGACAAACTAATTTAAATAAATGTTTAAAAATGTATAATGTACCTATGCAACCTCTTTCTAAGTTCCTGACCTAAGTACAAATTAAAAAATACATAAATTTACAATTTCATGCATTTTCTATGTTTTCAGAAATATACCCAGAATGTTCAATTAAAATGGCGGATTCAGTGTCAGCTGTTAACAGTACAAGCAGGTATATAATCAATCCATAAACAACAAATTATCAAGACAATAATTTTCGAACGATGAAAAATTCAAGGTTATGAAACGGCGTAAATGCTTAGTTTAACTAAAATTTGTTAAACCCTTCCTTCATTGCACACATTTTTTTCTCAGTCTTCGAATTCAGGATAATTTGTAATCCCTCGACGATTTATAAGGTCACAAAGTACGTTGAAGAGACACGGAAACCATATGAAACAAAAGTTGTTTGGAAATACGCTGTACGGCACTGAACTAAAAGCTAGAGCGTAACTGTATACTGTATGGTGTAAACTGTATTTGGAATGTTTGAAAAACATTTTTCAGGTTTTATTCGTTGAATAAGGGAAAATGCATGATTTTTAGGAGAAGATGAATAAATATATGAATGAAAAGAATAAAAAACTTGCCTTTTCTTGTACATTTTACAATATTTGCTCCCGATCCATAAACTCGTTTCTTTAAAAGCCTGTGAAATAAACACCTCTGGTATAAGGACATCTCTGTCGTCAATGATCATGGGAAGGTTTTGAGGATACTGCTTTGAATCGGACATGCCGCTCGGGGGCGTTCTCCGGAAGTGGTCCATGGGATGGAGGTGGGGGCACAGCACCCGTTGGGACCTTTAAAACCCTTGGGAATCATAGATATTACAGATTTTGGGGGTCAAGTGTGACTGAGCCCCCGTAGAACCCCCCTCCCCCGTGAGTGTGTACTGTGTACGCCTCTGAAGCCACTTTGTAAAGGGAGGGTCAATTAAGTAAAACGTTTACGGTGCCTTGATAAAATACAGATTCCCCTCGAAAGCTTATTAGACTGTTTTTTTTAACTACCTAAAGAAATTATTTGATTTTTAGGGTGTATAGCAGTAGTCTCCTTGATGTATGTCGGCACGTGTGTGAGGAGTGTGGTGATGAGGTAGAACATCTAGAACATCATGCTCTAGAGGAACACCAAGGCGTTGACCAGGTAGCTAAATTAAATAAATCATAAATTGTTGATTTTGCCAAGCATTTGAAAAATGTTTTGTTATTTGCTAGAAATTAAATGGCAGATAGGATGATATTGTCTTTGATCATTGGGTAGATTTTGTCTGACCTTAGGGTAGATGTTGCTTTTAATTGTTGGGTAGATATTGTCTGATCGTAGGGTAGATATTGTCTTTGATTGTTGGGTAGATATTATTTTTAATTGTTGGGTAGATATTGTCTTTAATCGTGGGGTAGATATTGTTCTTAATTGTTGGGTAGATATTGTCTTTAATCGTTGGGTAGATATTGTCTTTAACCGTTGGGCAGATATTGTCTTTAACCGTTGGGTAGATATTATCTTTGATCGTTGAGTAGATATTATCTTTGATCGTTGAGTAAATATTTCTTTGATCGTTGAGTAAATATTTTTTTGATCGTTGGGTAGATATTGTCCTTAATCGAAGGGTGAAAAAAAAATATTTTTCCCAAAAAAAACATTTAATTTCTCAAAAAATAATCTTTTCTCCTCCAAATTTTTTTACTTTTTCCTTAATGTAATTTATTTCCCCCTGAATATCATTATTTCCTCCAGTTCAGTCTAAATAAGCTGATAACCTGCGGATAAATAAATTGTTTGAAGATGGTATGTGTGGGGGGGGGGAATATTTTTAAAAAAAAACTCTGCTTCGATATCAGACCTCCTATTGTATATAAATTTTTAAACTTTTTATTTTGTTTTATATTATTGTATTTTATTTAGGGTTCGAACCAGTTTTCTCTTCACAGAGATTTTGATATTCAACGCTGGCACAAATGCTCTGTTTGTGGGGAAGATATTTATTTTAGCAGGAACATATTCATTCATTCATTTATCCCCTCATTCATCCTTTCATTCATCCTTTCATTCATCCTTTTATTCACATGTACCTTGTTATGTGAAAGCTCATTTTGAAACTATGAACTTACATTTTCATTTTTTTTCATGAAAAATCTAGTTTTTAATTGAAACTAAACAAAATGAATATTTTTAGATCAAATCTTAAAACTCACTTGAAACAACACAACCTCTCATTTAAGGTAATAATTAAGGATTTTTCATAAAACTTCAAAAGAAGATTATGTAAATGTCTGTTACAAATTTTTTTGTCTTTGTGAGAGTTGGAACTGCGAAGGGGGTTGGGATTAGATATTTTTCCACCATAGGGTACGCTTAACTTAGTCATAGTGTCATGTCCGGTTCACAACGATACCTGTGAAACTTTTGACAAATCAAAAATTATTGAGATATTCTTGTTTATCTCTTTGAAAATTGATTTTGTTTAATTCCAATTTTTTCAGCCCCTCTCCCTCCCTCCCCTGGGGTGTGGGACTTCAGTGATCGATTTTCATAGGATCGTCTGATTATTTTAGAATTACGCCAGCGATCATCTATCTCGAGATATTGGTAAAAGCGGAAATACTGACCAGGTACAAATAACAGTCAAAAGAGTTGGGATTTTATGAACAGTAAGATGTGGGTTAACTAGTTACGGTTGGTTCAACCACCTCTCTGGTTCAAATTTTCCTTCTTGGCAGCTCAAGAGATGTTTAAATCGGAAGTTAGTCAAAAAAGAAAGCACTGTTTTCTTACTTGATATTTTATAAAAAATAACTATGATGTAGGTGCGGGGAATGTTAGTTCTATCAATTAAAAATTCATGTATACTAATAAAACTCTTGTATTTGTTAAAGGATAATGAGCTAGATAACGATGAAAACGAAGAAGATGATGATAATGAAGAAGATGTCGAGGAAGTAAGAGAAGAGGATAGAGAGTTTTCAAACAGTTTTGCCGACATTATCAAGGTCAACTTTTTTTCAGAAATTAATATAAAAAATATCAGAATTTTTGGGAAATTTTGAAGATTTAAATTTTAAGTAACCTTTCATATAAAAAGGGATTTTCCTGATTCACAAAAATTTTCAAAAATGTCGTTTTTTTTTTGCTGGAAAAGTGTTCAATTCTATTAAATTTCTTCATTGTTTCTGAAACCAAAACATGGATATCTGAATTATATTTGATCCTCAAGACTTTTAAAGATACCGCAATACCATTATGTCAATGAGGGGTCACTTTACAGTCCCTTCTATCTAAATGTTTGCAGGTTAAGTGTAGTATTTGTGGAAATAATGTTGAAGAAGACGAATTTAAGAACCTGCACCTAGATACCCACTGTGTCAAACTAAAGGTTAACATTTTATATTTAGAATTTAAACATTTATAAACTTAGATTCTTGTTAGAAAATATCTGTTGTACGTAAAATGTTCCAAAATATTTGGTAAAAACATATTTTGATTGCGCAGGAATATTATGCAAAATACGGGCGACCGGAGCCAACCAAGAAAATCTACCACAAATGTCAGATTTGTCAGAAAATTCTCCTTTTCACGAGGTAAATAAACAAATGTCGGAAGCTTTTATATTTAAACTTCTGGGGGGGGGGGAGTAGTGCCCCCCTTAGACTTGAAATTGAACACTATCAAAACTATGTGTCTTTTTTTAATCCTACACATTACATTACACAATTAACACATTTCCTGGAGAAAAACAATCGCATACTGTTCCCCCCCCCCCCCGCCCCTTCTCTCTTGCTAGATCAAATCCTGTCTTTGCCAAGTATCAGTGTCTATTTTTCTATGTTTTAATATTTTGGGAGCAATTTTTGTTCTACTCTTTGCTTGAAAATCCAATTATTTTCCCTAATTCTACGATGTCCTAAAAACTGTTTAACCCTTATTTAGAAGAATATTTTTTAATTAAAAAAACTTTACAATTTATTTTCAGATCTTCTTTGTCTCTGCATATTTGCCAGTATCACAAGATGAAGATGAAACTATATTCTCAAAATTTTATGAATAAAACAAAGGAATAATTTTGTTAGACAGTTAAAAGGGAAAATCTAAAATATAAAACTTCAGATGAAACAATCATATAGAAATGGAATTTTGAATAAAAAATAAAAATATTTTATACATTTGTATGAATTAAATGATCTAGAACAAGCAGAACACTGGAGGGAAGTAAAGGAATTTAATCTAAATTTTAAGTTGCAAGATACTTTTTTGATTACTTAAAATCACCCTTGGGTATTGGGTATTGGCGATGAATTTGTTGTCTGTCCAACCTAATTAATAATTACAGTCTGAGACTAGTGTACATTCAGAAGCTGGCGATGAATGCACAGAATTGTACAGCAATGATTACAAAGACGAATGTACAGCAGTTTGTAAGGTAGGATCGTAAAAAAGATTCCAATGATGAATGTACAGCAGTTTGTAAGGTAAGATTGTAAAAGAAGCTTGAAAAGATGAATGTACTGCAGTGTAAAATAAGATTGTAAAAAAAGATTCCAATGATGAATTATTATTATAAAAAAAAAAAAATAATTTTTTAAATTCTCGATTCAAACGTAATACTTATAAAAAATTTCACAAAAATTCGCAATTAAATTTTAATTCAAAATTTGTGATGTTAGATTCTATTTCTGGATAATTATTTTTTAATAGTTTTGCGTTGTCGCAAGTTACATATTTTCATAAAGCATTGGCACTATTTTAACGGATTTTTGCGTAATATTTTCCGTGATAAGATTCCATAAAGATTAAATGCTAGTAAGCTAAACACTTTTCCACAATTATTTTCCATGTTTCTAGGAGGAGGTTTCTATTTCTTCAAAACAACTTGAGCCAAAATTGCATCAACAAATTTTAATCAAAATATTTTGTAAAGTTCAACCCTGCTTTCATTGTATTATAGCCTACAGCCTACTATAGGGATGTTAACGTTTTTATTTTTTTTAAAAACGATCGTTTCGTTATGAAAACGACGACAAAAAATCGAAAACGAAACGATCGTTTTTTTAAAAAAATGTTCGTCTTTTATAAATATTCGTTTTTAAAACGATCGGTTTTCAAAACATTCGTTTTTATAAAATTCGTCGTTTCGCTAACGATCGTTAACGACGACCCCTCTTTAACGATCGTTAACGACGACCCTTCGTTAACGATCTTTATCGACGACCCTTCGTTAACGTTCGTTAACGACGACCCTTTGTTAAAGATCTTTAACGACAACCTTTCGTTAACGATCGTTAACGATCGTTAACGAATAGAGGAAACCGACCTGAAGGGCATCTGTACTAACAATTGAGTAGTTTTTAGGAAAATATCAAGAAGTTTTAACTCCCCCAGAACTGTTAAACTTCGTGTAAGACGATATTCAATAAGTTTGCATGTAATTTTTTTTCTAAAAGCGACCATTTTTATAAAGTTCGTCGTTTCGTTAACTATCGTTAACGACAACCCTTCGTTAACGATCGCTAACGACGACCCTCCGTTAACGATCGATAACGAATTGTAACATAATTGTCAATAAAATTTATTTTCAAAAACGATCGTTTTTTTCAAAAAAGATCGTTTTTTCAAAAGCAATCGTATAAAAAACGGTCGTAAATCGTTTAAATAAAAACGATCGTTTTCAAAAACGATCATTATTTGTTTTCTGAAAGTTCAAAACGAGTGGGTCCTTTCGGAAAAAAACGATCGTTTTTTTCCGAAAACGAAACGATCTTTTTTGAAAACGAAACAAAAAACGATCGTTAAACGATCTTATACAAAAACGATTAAAAACTCTAACTACAGGTCGCGGTACTTTGTCTGCAGGTTAATTGTTTAATACTAATAATATTATTATTAAGCAATATTTGCATTAACAGGGAGCATTAAAAAGAAGAAACTGAAACTGAAAAGAATGTTTTACAATATAAAAACTGATCTTATTATTACCGTTAACAGTTTGAAGATTATATTGCTAATCATGGAGAAGTTGAGCTTAAGCGGAAAACTTATCACAAGTGTGGGATCTGCCACCAAATTCTGCTACTTAGTAGCCCAGCTATTAAGTAAGAAAGAATTATTTTATTTTTCCTTTTTTAAAAATTATTGTAAAGAAAAATAATTTTTTTTAGATTTTAATTTTTTATTTCTTTGAACCATGTAATAATTGACAATCAAACATATTTTAAGATTTTTTATTGCTAAATTATAGTAAACAGATACTTTTCAAACCTTTAGATGGGATAACTATTATTATTATTTAAGATTATTTCTATTTTAGTAATTCTCTTTAATTTATTGATGTTTAAGGAAGCATGCGCAATCTAAGCATAAGTTAACCCTGAAAGAATATAATAAACAATTTATGCTGGAGCAGAATATTCAATTCAGGTAAAATAATCATTGCTTTGTATGTTTGTATGTTAAAGGGACTGTACGCCTAATTTCAATTGACCCTCCATGCAATTCACAACAGCACCCTTTAAAGCTTTGCCTGATCAAGTATGAATCAGATATCAACGTTTACAACTTTTAAAACTGATTAATCTCAATTCTGGTTTCTATACTTGCACATTTCTACTACATGAAAACATACAAAAATTATTAGAATTGAACACTTTAAACCTAATAAAACGACAATATCTTTTACATTAATGATCAGAGAAAGGTTGCAATGGTACCTTTGTCACTCGGGCATCCTTCATTTTTTTGTAACCTATATTCTAGATCTTTCAGCGGCATATGCTTATACCTTTTGGGGAAATTATTGATTTTAAATGGAAGTGAAGAGGAGGGGGGGGGGGGCAATATTACTTCACTGATTGATTGATTGATTTATTGATTAAATGACTGATTGATTTGAAAGATTGTTATTTAGTCAAGATGAAATGGTTGATAATGGCAGCAAAGGAAGGAAGAAAGGTGAACAGAAAGCTCCTCAGTGGTGTGATGGAACAATGTACAAGTGTCCTTTCTGCTTCGTTATCTACTACAGATACTTCACCTTTAGGTACTTAATGATTTTCAGGCGCTTTTATACATTTAGCTTCTGTATCTGCCATAGATACTTCACCTTTAGGTACTTCATGAATTTCAGGGACTTTAATACATTTAGCTTCTGTATCTACCATAGATACTTCACCTTTAGGTACTTCATGATTTTCAGGCGCTTTTATACATTTAGCTTCTGTATCTACTACAGATACTTCACCTTTAGGTACTTCATGATTTCCAGGCACTTTTACATTTAGCTTCTGTATCTACCACAGATACTTCACCTTTAGGTACTTCATGATTTCCAAGCACTTTTATCATTTAGCTTCTGTATCCACCATAGATACTTCACCTTCAGGTACTTCATGATTTCCAGGCACTTTTATACATTTAGCTTCTGTATCTACCATAGATACTTCACCTTTAGGTACTTCATGATTTTTAGGCACTTTTATACATTTAGCTTCTGTATCTACCATAGATACTTCACCTTCAGGTACTTCATGATTTCCAGGCACTTTATACATTCAGCTTCTCTATCTACTATTACGTTCTTGGAGTAATATTTGTAAGCTTATCTCTTTCCTGATTAAAAGGATTTAAAACCTTAACATTAAATCAAATAATTCTGGTGAAACACTTCTCATCTAGTATCTTGTAGACTGTAAATTTAAAGTTAGATTTAAGATTCTTATTAATTTTGACACATACAGGGTGGCCTTACTAACATGATAGTTGTGAGACGACCTAAAGATTGTCTTTTTTTCAATTAATTTTACAAATACAATACAAATATGATTCTGTTAACAATTTCACTAAAAGTCTTTGTCTTGTCATTTCTAAAATGCGGTCTTTCCCTTTTGTCCTTTCAGATTTCTGTAGATATTAAGTTTAAGTACAGGGTGAGTCATAAAAAAGTGTGATTCGCGGCGTCTTGTGCAAAATTGTACCTTTTTTGTGCAACTCTTATGTATGGTGTTTTATCAACATTTTCGGGAAAATTTTTTTAATTTTTTGATATTCTTAGAATCGCAGAAAATTCGCAAAATTGTTTTGAGAAAGTCGCAATTTTCAGTTCTGGTCTAAATAAGGAAAAGCTATTTAAATTCTCTATTTCCTGTCTTCTTAGTATATTCTAAAATTATTAATTGAAAGCTGAAGAACCATTAACAAAAAACTTTTTCTTTAAAATTAGACCAGAACTGAAAATTACTAATTTTCTTTACAATTTTGCGAATTTTCTGTGATTCTGTGTTTCAATCTTTATAAAATTTTATATTTCGATAGAAATGATTTATACCCACAATTTTGATTTTCTTAACTTTTGATTTAAAGAGAAATAAGTTCGCGGATGTTTTTTTTTGGGGCCATTGGGATTAAAATTTAAAGTTTTCAAAAAATATTTAAAAAACAGCATACAGGAGAGGTGCACAAAAAAGGGTACAATTTTGCAACAGGCGCCGCTAATCACACTTTTTTTTGACTCACCCTGTAGATATTAAACTTGTAAAATTATGTAATATGTTGATAAATTTTTCAAATAAAGTCTTCAAGTCGTCTCTTAACTGTTGTGTAACGTGGGATGTTCTGAAAATTTTTATTATTATTATAGAAAGTCTAAAATTAGATTTTCTACAGGATTCATCTGATCAACAGTCACAAGATGATTGATACCCTTGAAAGAACCAACTTTATCAAGCACAGTGAGATCATCACAGACAATTATAACTGTAAACTGTGCAGTGCGAGCATTAAGCGAGACAGGATGGATATTGAAGCACATCTTAAAGACAAACATAAAACTACACTCCGTATATACGCAGAGAATTTTGAAAGTAATGATTCAAAAGAACCTTTTGAGAAAGTTGTTGAAAGGCTTCTGAAAGAGGGAAAGATAGGAAGTATAAATCTAAATATTAAGATTGAGGAAACGATTAAGGAAGAAATATTAGAAACTGATGAGATTGAAACTGATCTTGTAGATGATCATAATGATAAAATTGAAAATTCTGAGTCTGTGCCCGAGAAGGGTAATAAAGAGAAAGTTGTTGTGAGTCAATCATGTTCTGAGGGTACAGAGAATTCCACTGAAGAGATTGCGGAGCCAAGACTTGAAAAAAACAAAAAATCTCGCCGATCTATTAGGATGAAAGAAATGAAAGATCTTCTTGAAATCAAAGATAATACCTCTAAAAATCCAAATAATATGATAAACGAAGACATATCTAAAGTATCACCAGATTTAAACCTGAAAGAGATCACTAATAATGAAGAAAAGAATGATTCTAATACTGGTAGAAATGCCTCAACTGTAAGAACTAGACGCATCATTCTGACTCCAAGAACCCCCTCCATCCAGCCTGAGACTAAGATTTCAGATAGAAAACAAACTGCAATACCTAAGGAAACGTCAGTTCAACCCTCTAGATTGCCCGCCAAAAAACTGGATCCGGCAGCTAGCCCAGTTTCTAAGACCAAGGCAGAGGAAACGATTTCTACCGAAGATTCAGGATCTCAAAGTGAGTCTGAAGGAAGAAGTAAACGAACGCGAAAACCTGTGAACAGACTCATTTCTCAAGAAGAAACTCAAAGTCCAAAGCTCTTCCAGAGCCCCAAAAGTCATGCAATTAAGTCAACCAAGTCGACCAAGAAAATTGAAGACATTATTCAAAGTCCCTGTAATCAACCATCAAGCAAACTCGATGCCCCTGTCTCTGACCATTCTTCAGAAGAGGGTTTGAGCTACACCCCGCCAACTGTCAAACATAAATCGCATTTTAATCGCCAAATAAAGTTCGTCACAGATGGAAAGCCCGGGAATTTATTAGCAAAAGCTGCGAAACCTGTGAAGAAAATAACCAAAGTAGAGACATTTACTAGTCCTAACTCATCTGAATTGAACTCAAGTCAAGAGAAGCAAAGTCCTGGTGGTGCAACACCAAAGAAGAAGATGAAAGTGAAATGGATTGTTCGGAAGGATTTACTTAATTCTTCGCCAACGTCTGAAAAACAAACTTCAACTCCAACCCTGGAAAAAAAGAAGTCAAGGTAAATTTTTCCATCGTAAGTGGAAAATTATTATTGGGGATATGATGAACTAAAATAATATTTTGTATTAATTGGTCCGTTCCCTTTACCTTCACTTACCTTTGTATTGTTTAAAACTGTTTTCTTGGACTTTTCATGTTAACAAAAATATCTGCACATTTTATTCATTTTATTTAGCATTTTTTTTGGTAATTTCTGAGCTGAAAACCTTAGAATGGTGGATGTCGAGATCAATTCTAGATCATCTACTCTTATTCTTAATCTCCAAATTAAATAAGGCTTGTTTTCCTCTTGTTATTAATTTTCAGATTAATTATCCGATTGGGATTAATGATATCCCATTCTAAAGTTTTTAGCTCTGTTCATTTATATTAATTTAATATGAAATCTATATTTCATTTATCTAAATCTTAAAACATTAGTTTTGATAATTTATTTAAGATTTTAACTACTTATTTGTTTTAGTGAAGCGTCGCCTCTACCAAAGATTAAAACCACAATAGTTAAAACCATTGGAATCTCTCAATCTGGGAGCAGGGGGAACCTAATAAAAACCCAAATAAAGAATTTCGATCAAGAAGGGAAAGAAAACCAGATTAGTCGAAAGCGTCCCAGACCAACTGATGACGAATTTTCTCCTAATTCCCAAGGGGCCAAGAATCTACCAACATCTGAGCCCTTATCTAAAAGACCGAAGAGAGAGGCTGCAACCCGAATTAAAAACTATGCAGAAATATTCGGGACACATGAGGAACTTCTTGCGCCAAAATATGAACTTCCAATAAAACAAGAATATTCGCCCTCTAAGCCAACTTCCTCAGTAATATCTTCAAACAACCCTATTCAACTATCTAGAAATTCAGAAAGCACTGTTGCAAAAAACAATCAAAGAATTAGTATAGCACCCGTGACCCCATCGCAAGCTACTAAAAAGAACTCGAAAAGCGCTTTAAAGGATAAGAATAAAACTTCTCCTAAAACACCCTCCCAACCCCCGTCCCTGCTTTCTGTCGGAGCTATTAAGAAGGAACCAGTAAACACAGAGGTAGGATCTCTTAATATAAAGAATGTTCTGGATTTTAGATGGGGGGGTGGGGGTTGAGAAAATACTAAAATTTGTTTTTATTTTAATCTTATTTTAAATTTGATTGATTATGTTTTTTTTTCTGTTTTTTTCTTGGGTTTATTCGTTGAATTGAAGTAAATGAAAGATCACCCTTTCAGTAAGCAAGCTTCCTTTTTTATGATTTTTCCGTTTTTTCACACAAACTTGAAATATTGTTTAGGGTGAGAGTATGTACCGGTGTCCGATGAAGAAATGTGATTGGAAATGTACTCAGGTAAACAGTAATATGTACTAAATTATCTTAGACTCAAGTTATGATTCGAAATATTCCAATGAACTTGAAACACAGCAATTGTGCAGTGTACTCAGACCCATTTCACTTTATAAGTGGATTTATAAGTTACTGGTAAAACTTTATGCTTTTTAACAACAACAAATTCACTAAAAATTTCACTTTTAACTCCACAGATTGATTGGTCCTACAGTAAGAAAATGCACAGGATAAGAAAAATCTGAAAATCTGAAAAATGGAAATTGTGGAAAAGTTTCATGGATCCCAATTTATTAATATTGGTTTTATGTGTTTTTTGTTAGGATGGATTGCAAATTGGTTCTGCTGTACTGCATTTACTGCGTGTACACGGTGTACAACCTGTAGAGATGAGAAGACAAGGACTCAAGTTTGAAGTTGCGATTTAGTCAATAGTCATTTAATCATTTTTTTAAAGAAATAAACATCTTTTGTACTATTTTTGTATTTTCTTCCTTCATCAAGCTACTTAATGTTTAAATTTTTTATTACAGCAACTCTTAGTGTAATTTCAAGTGACTATCCATGAAAAGTATAAATAAATTAAGGTTACCTCTCCCTATCTAATTTCATAGTTAACCCCCTTTTCCTGTCCTTAAACCACTAAATCATAAATCTCTTTTTTCACCCATTATGTTAGCTGGGAAACCCGAAATAAAAGTTATTTAAAAACTATAGACAAAGCTTAGGATCCGATTCAGAACCTTTCCAGTCCCTTGAGTCAGATTGACTCCAGTTAAATAATAAGTTTAAAGAGATTGTAATAGTGGCACATGTTCACACATGTTCAGTAATAGAAGAAATACAACAGAAAAACATAGTTAAAATGATCCTAAAGGAAAAAGGGTTTCCCAGAAACCTAATAAAAAAGTTAGAAAACCAACAATATGAGAAAAGAAAGGGAGAAAATGCTAAAATATTCTTAGGAATAACAGTGTTTGACAATGTAAGCAAACGACACAATTTTGTAAGAAATGTTTTTTAACACTCAATAATAGACAATATTATCTTCCAGCAGACGTCCCCGGAAGGAAATTTGAGCAATATATTTTCACTATAAAGAAGATGAAAGAAAAGCTTCAGTTTTAAACTTTGTACTTTTCATAGAACAATGAAAATGCGTGAATTAAACCTTAGGAATACATATTAACATTTATATTATTTAACTAAAACAGGGGGCACAGAGCACAGTACTTCTGAATTATTTTTAGTTTATTTGATTTTTAAACATTCATAGAGAGATCTTGAAAGAGAAAAGGCGCTTGACAAAAAATGGCTTCTCGGCATGGGTTAGTTTGGTCGTTGACATTGTGCAATATCCTTATTTAAGAAAAAAGGCCAAAACAAATGATTTCCATGTCCTTTTTCAAGCATCGAAAGGTGTATAGGAAGGGATGGATCGTTTTTACTTTTTTGAAAAATGATCGTTTTGTTTTGTTCACGACGCAGATAAAACGAAAAACGAATTGGTCGTTTTCTAAAATGATCGTTTTGTTCGTCATTTTGTCTAAAATTTTGGACGATCGTGAACGACGACCCTTAAATATTATGACCGTACATTCGTTGACGACAGCCCTTCATTAAAGATCTGCCTTTGTAGAATAGATTTTTTTTACACTGATCATGGCGTTGACAGAAATTATCATAGAGCTTTGTAATACTATTACTATTAGCACTATCTTTGGACTTAACCATTAACCAATCATTACCATACCAAATAACAAATGAAATCAGATTTCTAGGAATGTTCTCTCCATACTTCAAATTCAAGATGACTAAAAAAATAAAGCCTGGGTTTACGATTTGTTAAAATGATTGAAATTAAATGTAAAAAAATTGAAAACTCATAATTATTAGAAAATTATTTTCTTCAAAAGTTCAAAACGATTATTTTTAGAAAAACAAAAAAGAAGTGTTCTTCGGTCGTTTTTAAAAACGACTAACAACCCTAGGTACTCCTTGCAGTGGTGCATTAGTACCTTGCTCCTTGCAGTGGTGTATAAAATGTACCCCTTGTACTGCAGGTACTATTGTCCCTGATATAATTAACCTTGACACTGGTGAGTTTAACGGGAGGAGCGGAAACCAGTTGTTCAGAGAAGAACAATATTAATATCTCATTAATCAGGATTCAGGGGTGTCAACTGAACAGAGAGGGAAGTTCTTCACCCCCCCCCCCTCAGGATTCAGGGGTGTCAACTGAACGGAGAGGGAAGTTCTTCACCCCCCCCCCCTCAGGATTCAGGGGTGTCAACTAAACAGAGAGGGAAGTTCTTCACCCCCCCCCCCCCTCAGGATTCAGGGGTGTCAACTAAACGGAGAGGGGAGTTCTTCACCCCCCTCAGGATTCAGGGGTGTCAACTAAACAGAGAGGGGAGTTCTTCACCCCCCTCCCCCCCTCAGGATTCAGGGGTGTCAACTAAACAGAGAAGGAAGTTCTTCACCCCCCCCCTCAGGATTCAGGGGTGTCAACTAAACAGAGAGGGGAGTTCTTCACCCCCCCTCCTCAGGATTCAGGGGTGTCAACTAAACGGAAAGAGCCCACCTCATCAAGATTCAGTGGTGTCAACTAAACAAAACAATATTTTACTGGTTTTGTTTTATTTATAATTAAGATAGGGTATAACCGTTGTTGTATTTCATGGAACGTTTCCAACATTGTTCTCACAGGATCACCCACAAAGGATGAGACTGTAAAGACGACCTGAAACTCTTATAATATGACGATATCATGCTTGAATTAAATCTTAGATAAAGTTCAAAAATGACTTATTTAATGAAAGAGCAAACAGAGAAACAAGTTTACAGTAAATTATAATTATAAGGAAAGAGACAGTAAGCATCCCTAAAGTATCATCTTTTGTGGGTGACTCTGTAGTTCATAGAATACATTGGATCTTTTTTTTGCCCTGTATATTTCCGTAGTTGCAATCTGTTCGTGTAAACTCCCCCCCCCCTTAAAAAAGACCCAATCTTGTTTTAATTTCAATGGAAAGTTTACCCAGTAAAGACTATACCGTACCATGGGAACCAATTTGGAAATTGTAAACTGTTTGACTTTTTGGGAGGAATATAATTATACTGCCGGTAGTGTTCTGTTTATCATATATTCCACCTTTAAATTAAGATCAATCTTTAAAAACAAATATATAAGGCATGGCATTGTTCGTGTGTCGTGATATATACTTGAGGATGTTCCACGAAACATGACAGTTGGTGAATAGTTTTAAATGTCTTCTTCCATATACTGTGTAAGTTTTTGCATTTTATTTAGTTAAAAAAAACCTTTGCTTTAATATATTTTACTATAATATGATTGCCAAGAAATATTTTTTATTATTCTCAATGGTATCAAGCAACTTAACAAACTTGAAACTATGGGACACCCTGTACTATACAGGGTTACCTATACAAAGCATGAGACTTAAGAGACGACTGTACAGAATTTTTTAATCCTTTTTCTTACTATCAGACATTGAATACCTACCATTTGTTTGCTACCATTGCCTATATAAACATGTTACATTTTTGACAAATTTCAAGGATTTAAACATTTCCGGATTCGACGTATTTTGAAATTTTTTCATTTTTGCTTTCATTTCTGAATTTTTAAAATTTTAAAGATCAGATGACCCAATTTCCGTTATTTTGACATGCAAAAAATTGTATTTTCTGAATGCTGCTTGTGTAAAAAAGTCCTATTGCTAGTGGGCATAGTGCTATTTTAATAAAAATCGACCCTCTTAATTTGACCATAATTATATTTTTCTAAATTTCATCGTGTACAATATCTCCACTTGTAAGGTTGTAACAAGCACATGAAAAACTTTTACAGACATTGTCCCATTTGATACAAGGAGTCCCATGGATCTTCTGAGTTAAATGAAAACTTTAATACCATATTTTGATGCACTTTTTCGCGTACATTATATAATTATAATACAGGGTGTCCCAGGGATCTTCTGAGTTAAGTAAAAACTTTAATACCATATTTTGATGCACTTTTTCGCGTACATTATATAATTAGAATTCCACAAAAAATGGAAAAAATAATCTGCATTCGATTTTGTGTCTTCTCTTTGTTTTTTCTTGTACACCCTGTATCTTTATATGTACACTAGCTGGAGTGTCTGGGCGTTACCCGTCAAATTTTAAAAATCTAATTTTAAAAAATAAAATTTCGAATTTAAAAAAAAATTTATTTTTAATAAAACAAATTTGAATAGAAAAATGTCAACCAATTTGGTCCAGCCGTTTGGCAATTTGGCAAATTTGGTTCAGCCATATAAATATATATACTAATATATAAACGAACAAGGTACTAATGCAAGGAAAGTTAATTGCGTATACTCTGCGTACATATTGAAACAAGTTCTCTCTGGGCGGAATTTGTAAACAAGAGTAGATGCATCAGTGTTCGTCTAGATCAGAGGAGGATAAAAGCATTAAATTTTGATAGTTTTGATAATTCACATAATAGTTTCCTATGACCAGAATATTTCATAGATTATTTGTGTGATTTCATGTCAGGCTGTAACATCCGTCTTGTGTTTACTTTTCCGCCCAAAAACAGTACATTGCAGTTCCAAAAATGCGTACACCTCTGAAATAACTTTCCTTGCATTAGTATACCTTGTGAGCGAAGAGCTTTATTATAACGATAGATAGTATTTTTATATTGACCTCTCCTGCAGCACGTGTTGATGCTATGGCGTATGCAAAATACGAATTCATTTATCAACCCAGACCAAATTAGCTAAACAAATATCAGTTCCGCCATTTGTGCCTATTCTTAAACTCTCATTAGTACATGAGTTATCTATAGAGGCGCAACCTGGATATTTTAAAGGGGGGGGGGGTGTACAAGTAAAATACACAATTATGAATTAAATACTGCTGACATAATTTCACGTAACCCTCCATTAAAATGAGTATTTTTTTTCTAGCTTGAAAATTGTTTTTTTTTCTGGCAATCAGCCAGCCACAAGAGAAACCATAAATGAAAATAATCAATTTTCAAAAGGAAGATAAAGGATATCATTTATTCTTGATCAAATTAAGCATTTTTATACTTTTGTGAATTGAACCTGCTACTTTATAAATGGAGGGTCACTTGAAATTACTTGAATTTCCCTACCCCCGTCATTTTCGGGTTTAATGATTAAATCTAATTTAAGTTTTATAATTAGAACTCTATCTTATTGTTTGTTTGTTTTCATCTATGTTATTGTTTACAAACTTAATTATTTGTTTTAACACTAATCTAATGTCTGATCATGGGCCTACTCATATTGTCCGTATAATCTCTACTCCCCACCTTAGCTCTATTTCTTGCAATAAGATCAAATTGCACATATTTTTTTATTTTTTTATAGTATTTGCAAACAAACCCTTTAATTCTAAATTAAAACTTTTGTATCATTTAAATTGGATTAGAAT